TGCCCTTTCAGGCTTTCACCTGAACTGAGTGTAAGTGGTGCCGCAGAGCATCTTTCACCAACTCCCTTTATATTAGGCTCTTTTACTCACGACTTCATGGTCACGTTCGCCTGAAACTCAGTTTTACTTATGATGATCCTTGTCTTATTGGACTTGCAACATGCTCGATTTCTATTTTTGGAAGCTTTTAATTGTAGCTTCGTGGCCATACCTGTCTTTATTTCTATTTTTACTTGTGGCGCCCTTTCGGTTTATCTCCATGACCGGTTTCTTTTCTTTTTGAGATCTTTTACCTATAGCTTCATGGTTATGTCTGCCTCGAGTTTTTTCTCTTTCATTTTTTCGATAATATGATGGTAAAATGTATGATGAATGATGGGAAGGTCCCCTTATTGGTGATAAGGATGGAGGAGTGGGTCCAATGTTGGCTGCAAGACTCACTTGGGGAGATGAAAATCTTGGATGAGACTCGACTGGGGATGAGGTGATTGGTGAGAGAGCTCATTCATGGTTATGAATGATGATTGGTGAGAGACAAGGGTGTCGATTCTACTGACAGATGTGAAGTGCTCGAGTGGGAATAGCCATTCATATGTTTGATGACTCTACCGGGGAGTGATGTGGTTGAAGGTGAATGCAAGGTGAGGGTGCAAGTGTCAAATCGACTGAGGGTAAGACTGTCTCACTGGGCTCTTGAGTACGACAGGTGACGTGACTCTTCTGAGGAGATGGAAACTTAGGTGAGTAGTGGGGTAGTTTGAAGAGAGAGTCGTGTGAGGTGCGACTCAATCGGGGAGAGTGAGGACTGATGAGTGATGGTTTGTGATGGTGTCGACACCCTTGTGTGCAATGGCTGGTGAGAGGTGGTGAATGAATGGTGGTTGATGGGGGAGATGAGAGATGAGAGATGAGAGAGTCGTAAGGATGGCGATGAGATGTGAGGAAGATGAGGAAAGAGAGATGAGAGAGATGAGAAGTGGGGGATTTATGAGATGAGAGGGGGAGTTGAGATGAGCTATGAGGTGAGAGGAGGGAGTGAGAGAGACGAGAGAAGAGAGAGGGAGAAACTGGCCGCTAGCCCATAAGAGGTGAGAGGAGGGATGAGGGAGACGAGATGAGAGGGAGAGAGATGGACCAACGGCTAGGCCATTGGTCCAAGAGAGGAGGGGGGAGACGAGAAGGGGGAGAGAGACGAGAGAGAGAGAAGAAGAGATGGGCCAGTGGCCTAGAGAAACGAGAGACGGGGAGAGAGAGTGACGAGAGGAGAAAGAGGGAGAGACCTGCCAGTGGCTAGGCTGCTAGTCCATGAGAGGGGGAGAGAGATGAGAGAAGGGGAGAGACAGGCTAGCGGCCCATGAGAGGGAGAGATCCGAGAGAAGGGGAGAGAGAGACGAGAGAGAGAGAAGTGGAGGGCGTCCTCTCCCCCTTATTTTTAGTGGCAGCCCAGCTCGAGAGAGCCCTTTCGACCTGGGCAAGGGTGTTTTTTACTAGGCCGGGCCCAAGTTCCACAATGGGCCTGGTTTCACTCAATTTTAACACCGTTTGGGCCTTTGAATGGCCGTTTTGACTGTTTTACCCCTGAATAATTTTTTGCTTCATGTCTTGCGCAAGGGTAGGGCAGTAATTTTTCCTCTTCCTTTTTACCTTAAGGCCCTTGATCTTTCTTCAAAAGATACTTTCTTTAGAGTGGACCACATGTGAATTAAGCCTTTGTGAGTAGTTATGGGGGAAAGTTACTATTTTCACCCCATGCTCATGTATGAAAGAGGGGTAAGACCCTCATTTTTACCACTTTTCATCATTTTCTTATTTTGTAGAGAGAGAAACTGAAGAGGGAACCCCTTAGAGAGAGAAAGGAGAGAACTTTTGAGGGATTAGTAGTGTTTGATGCATCCGGATCCAATGATGAGCACTTCTCAGGCTTCTGAGTGCGGTGAGCCTGTCCCCTTTCTTTTCCTGCCCTTTTTAGCTCATTTTTACAAGTCTCTCCACATTTCTCCTTATTTTGACATTTGTTTTCATACTTTTGCATACTTATTTACTAGAAAGGGGGCTCTTCTAAGGCACATTCCCGTTGGGTTTGACCCACTAGTATAGCAACCCTTGAATCCTCTGGGATGACTTGGACTAGCCAAGCACGTTTTATGCTGTCAAATCTCCATTTTTAGGGGAGATTCTATCAAAATTTTGCTAGCTTTGCTTACGCTTGCTTCTTTCGTGAAGTCCAAAATATGACAGGAACTTATTTTTCTATTTTTCCTTACATCATCATCTTCCAAAGCCTGAGGAGGTTGGGACCAGTACTTTTACTAGAGTCAACCTTGCATGAGACCAATCCCTTCAGGTTATTGCCGCTGTTAGTGAATTATAATGGCCTTTGAGCGTCACTTTTGGGAGTGACAATCCCCACTTCCATCTTTATGAGATTGAGGATAGAGAATCAGTGGTGCAAGATGACAATGTACTCATGTTTCATTTCCTTCATCGTGGTTAAGGTTCACATTTAAACCTCCCTACTCTCAGGAAGAGGTTGATGAAGACAAAGGGTTTGGCGTGGTGTCTACACGAGCTTCGATTCTAAGGCGAGCACCAGTACTTAAGAGGGTATAGCTCCTGGACCTTTGATGTGCTCCGTCATCATGAAGAGCGTCTTGGATCGTCTTCCTTACTCTCGACATGTCAATGCTCGGTTGGGCACTATGATCGTTGTTCAAACACGATGAGGGCCCTTGTAGAGACATGGAGTTATGTAAGTAACTCTTGGCTCTTCGATCCAATTGCTTAAAGCACCATCCCGACATTCTTGAGGCAAAGGCACAATGTAAGAAAATATTAGGTTGCAACTCCCCATCATTTTTATACATCAAGCATACATTCGGCATTATTTTTCCCTCTTTACATGGTTATCAACAGTTAAGATTTTTTCTTGCGTAGCCAACCAAATAAGATCTTATGCCTTATGAGGAATAGGTCGCTTCCAAATTTCAAAGAGAATTGGGTGTTACCATCTCAACACTCTATATGCATATTTAATTGAAAATTGACCATTATTCTCCAATTCCCCGATGATGTCATTGTTTTAAGAACTTGAAATATACACTTCCTCCATATTGTGAATCAAGGAGACAAACTGATTCACAATAACATCACGTACTAACATCACGTACTATGTTATAAAGAAGATTAACATTCCACACCATTTTCCTCTCTATTATTGAAATCATATCAATCACTTTGGATTGTGGACTTGAAAATCTTTCGAAAAGCTCGGGGAAAGAAATTTTAAGAGGTCTATTGCCAAGCCACTTTATATGCTAAAAGGATATGTTGTCCCCCTGTCAACGTCCCATCTAACATTCCTCTTCACTATTTGTTTGGAAGAAAAAATTGCTCTCCACATATAAGACGAGTTTCAAGACCCTCTACCCCTACCGATCTAAAATTATTCTACCCATCCCATACTCAGTTGCCAGAATTTTGCACCATAGTTGATTTTTAAAGAAAAGGATTCGCCACCACCACTTGGAGTGAAGGGCACTATAAACCAAAAATAGCTTCCTAATCCGAAAGCCACCCTCAGGTTTTGGGATACACACCCTATCCCATCTCAACAAATGAAATTTTCTCTTCTCAAAGGATCCCCAAAACAAATTACTCATCATTACCACAACTCTTTGGGTGATTAAATGAGGCATTTGTAATATGAACATTTGATAAATAGATAAGTTAGCCAAGCATGACTTAATAAGTGTAATCCTTCATCCCAGTGACAAATACTTAGGCTTCTACAAATCCAATTTGTATTGCACTCTTTCAACAACCTTATCCCATGCTGAAATAGGAATCCTTGAGATAGAAATAGGCAATTTAAGATAAGTAAAAAGAAAGAATACAACCCTACACCCCACATACTTGGCCAACATCCCCATCAGACTATCATCACATCCCATGCCAAACAAGTAGGTCTTAGCAAAAATCACCTTTAGGCGTATGGCTACCTCACAAAATATGAAGAATCAATAGATATTAGATATCTGTATATGATCCATGTTGCAAAACATAATAATGTCATCTGCATGTTGCAAATGGGAAACGATCGGGCCATCTGAAGACACTGTAAAACCTTGGAAGTAGCCACTTTCTTCTACTTATCCCAATATGAGACTGAAACACTCAACATAGAGAGTAAACAGAAAGGGTGATAGGGGGTCACCTTGCCTTAAATCTCTGGACGCTAAAAAACCTTTAGGCTCCCATTAATAACTGGCTTTTCACCGTTTACGCTCGTCCAATCCCTTGAAAAAAACTAGAGATCCACTATATATATGATACTTGCTAGATATTGATTCGTCCATCGCCCAATTCCCAATCAAGATCAAACATCCTTTATGCAGATCAATAAATTTTGAGGCACTGAGCTCAACCAACTATTTCTAGTGTAAAAGTGGCAATTTTTTTTCTCAAAACATTGCCCCAATATATTCACGAAAGAATGGATCTGGATCCTTAGATATACCACAAAATCAAATTTTTTTTTTTTTTTTAAATTGTTCAGATAATAAAGCTATCTAAAAAACTTGGAAAAGAAAAAATTCCTCTAAGGGATAGATCTAAGCATTGTAACAAAATGGGTGACCTATGTTAATTGAGCTAAAAAAATACTTTCTAGGTTAGGTTTTCAAATTTTTCATTTTTATGATGGATCATTAAAATAAAAAGAGTGTATATTTTAAATTTTGGATCAAACAAATGGCCCTAACATTATTTTAAAAAATGATTACATTATATTACTGTACAACCATTGTATGAAATCACTATACCATTGGATCATATTACTGTACAACAGTTGTAAGAAATCACTGTACCATCCATTTCTAACATCGGTCTTTTGAAATTATTTCTGGAATGCACCCGCACCAGTGAGCCGAGCGGAGTACCAATTTTGGTGATCCTTCAGGAACATTCTATAACCTCACATAAATGTCCGATGCGTGCGATCCCTGGAGATTTGGCCACAAGGAGCGTTAAACTTCGCTATGTTCTTCGTCTTCTCTTCGAGAAAGCGCGAAAATGGCCTCAACGTTGTGGTATTCTGCCGCCATTTTCTTATTATTATTTGCTCAAGTTTTCTCTCCCACTGCAAGGGCAGATGTGGTGAGCCTCAATGGCGATACCTTCACCGACAAGGTCACACATACAATTCTTCTTCTTTCGTTCTTTTGTTCTTAAATTTTTGAAGGTGTATTTTTTTTTTGGTGCGACTCTGCACATTTGATGATGTTGAGTGTTGAATTAAACAGTGGCAGATCTTACTCTTGTTATCCCTACTGGTTAAGTTTGTTAGGTATTAATTTATCAAAAAGATGGGTATGTTGTTTTTCTGTCTTCTTTTTCCTTTTGTTTCTTCTATTATTATTGTTATTTGACATGAGCGAGATATGCTTGGTGTCTTTCTAGTGAAGAGGATTTTGAATATGATCTGTTGCTCTATTTGGGATTGAAACTTGATGCCTGAATTGAAATGTAAAGAGGATAGGATTTAATCAATTGAAGGAAGGATAATTCCTCATAGATTCTCATTGAATCATATCATAGTAGCAGGTTACTTGATGGGTCCTTCTCTTTATTGAAAAAGAATCTCTGAGCTCTGAAAACTCCTTGATGCTCATATTTCTCTTTGAAGTAGTTTTCCTTCCTGGAATACAACTTCAAAGTAACATGTACAAGTGAATTTTTGTTTTGTACTAATTGATATTCCCAAACTATGTCCGTTTCTGTAAGTACCCTCCTGGAGTTTTAGTAATATTAATTTTGAATAAATCGCACTTGTCTGATGGAGCATTTTCTCTTAGGTGGTTCAATCCCTATAATTTGATTAGGCTTCAAAAGTTTGAGTTAGCACAAACTTACCATGTTACTCGAGCAAAACATTTGTTCAGGTGATTTTCAGAATGATTTTCTTAACTTCTGCACTGCAATTAGCAGTGCATCTTTTTTAATGATTGTGATCCAATAAACATTGTTCGTCCAAACTTCCTAGATAGACACGGTGACCTGAAATTACTTTTAGTAAATTAGACATCTTGCTTAATATGAACCTACATATATGCCATTCTGAAAAAACTTTTCATAGATATTTGTCATAATTTCATGGGTGTATGGCCCTTGAGGTAAATTATAATAAGAGCCCCATTCTAAAGATTAATTTGGAGAAACAAGCTATCTTGCCTGGCCCTTTGCAGATGTAACCCATCTATAACAAACTAAAAAGTTACAAATAGCAAGAATGATTCATTTGACTAAAATAATCTCAAGATTGGTGGTGGAGAAACAAGTTCTATCAGAAGGCGCTTTACATATTTGAATGCACCTCTAAAACTAATGAATGGATTGCAAATTATGGTTGGGGATGGTCCTCATGCAATAAATGCATATCCCAAACATCCTCAAGGGTTCTTATTGGAGGAACAAGCAATCAAAGGATTCCTGCAGACATGAATTACATGGATTTGGGATGTAGATACATAATATTTACTTGCTCTCATTGAGAGTCTTAATTGAAATTCACTAACCAATAGATATGTATACTGATTAAAATTGCTCTTATTGTCATAGATTTTACCACTGGGCCTTCCAGCAGAAGGTGACAGTTATTTTATTAAATTGAACAAGTAGAATAAATGTGAGTAAGAGATGTCATGATGGAATGCATTAATTTTAGTCAACTCTTGGGTTCTGGTCATACTAATTTGCATTCCTTTGAAAGATCTCAAGCTTGAAGTTCCCCGATTTCTGGATAGAAATATTCTTAGTTTTCAATTTATATCTTATGGATGTGTGGGTGCCAAACTCCTGTGAAGGATTGCCCTCCATTTCAAGTCCTTTGTTTCATTTCTTTAAGAACAGAGTCCCTTATTTTACTGAAACTGATTTTCTGTAAAGTTGGATTTCAAATTTAAATTGAGTTTGGATAAGGTCCATTGCTGAGGTTCGTTCTATAAATAACTATTCTGTCACCTCCTACTCGTGCATTTTACCCAGATCCTTTGCTCTCCTGCAATAATTGCATGCGATCACGAGCTTCTGAAGACTGATTGAAGCCTTTAGTTTAATTGGGATTGGAGGCTAGTGAAAGGCTAGTTTGCTGACAAAGTGGCGATTGTGAACTACTAAGATTTAAGGTGCAGTCTTGGTGTAGACATGCATAATTGACCACTGATTGACCTTTTAAGGGTGAGAAACCACTGTACACTCCTGAGTGTTTTGTATGAGGCATTCATAAAGTGGGGGTCGACATATTCCATTAATTTTTCATGCGCCCAAGCAGGAATCTTGGTCTGTGATATAAAGATCATGTTTATTGTGTTCTTTTGAAATAAAGAGTTCTTGTGTCAGCAGATGGCTTAAGCTATGCAATGTTCACATGGGGAAACTGGTTGTTTTGCTGTGTCAACTGTTGATGCTGTTCATTGTAAGGCAAATTTGGTTTCTTTTAGCTTAGTCAATAACTTGAAAACCTAGATATGTAAAGCATTACTAATTTATATTGTTGAACATGGAGATCTATATAGTGGAGGTTGATTATGATGTTATGTGATGTCTAGGTGGGCCAAATGCCAAATGCCCCCAACTGACCAAATGAACTGGGTTAACCTTAACGCAGATGGTGCTTCTGAGCAGTCCTCGTTTGGCTGGTGGCTGGTGTTATTTTTGATCATGAGGACAAATTTCCTATACCATATTTGAGGAGTTTCGGTGCATTCTCAAGCGTCCAAGCTGAACGATCCCCTCAAGTTCATGGGATCAGTTAATGCATGTCATTGGGTGGATGAGCATATATATATTGAGCTGAATTCTCATATTTTATTGAGTTAGATGACAAATGACTCTATGGATTGAGCCGCACTCTTAGGACTTGATGGATTTTATTTTATGATGGCACTTTCTTGTTGCATTATTCCAACATCGTAGATGATTATTGGGCTTTAAATAGAGGGCTATACCACAGCAGAGAGACTAGCTCATCATGGAACATAAGTTCAGCGGAATAAGGAAATTTCACAAGGGCTATTTCTTTTTTTAGTAGGTTAAAAGGGTTTAGCATGGGTGGACAAATCTTTACTTTTTTACATTTCTATAGGACTTTCTTGATGTGGGAAGGAGTGATAAAGGAAATAAAATAAATACAATAATAAAGTGAGAGAATATATCATCTCTCTGGGTTTGTAAGGGAGTGCATTCCAAAAAGATTTTTTTTCGCAGGGCTCAGAGTCAATTTTCCATCTCCCTTTTCCTTATCCAACATGTAACACGTTCATGGAAGAAGCCTTAAAACCTTAACTTTCTCGATAAGATGTCTTAGTCACTATTAATTCCTAGTTCTCAAATTTGAATTTCCAACTCTACATCTCAATTCTCTACAAACAAAAAAGACATAAATAACCTAAGATAGCTAGAATAAAAGAAACCAAAAGATCAAATAACCCCTATCTTAATCTCCGATAAAAATAACAAAGTGAAACAAAATAAGAAAACCTATCTTTGTCATCCTCTCGGGGTTGGGAAGTGCTCAAGCTTGCATATTCATCACATCCTTTCGAGCCCTACTCAATAACTCGTGATGTAGTCCCACCATTTCTTGCGGCGCTCATTCCATTATAATTTGCTGAATAATTGAACAATTGCTTTGGAGCTTCTTATGGAAATTTGTGAAACCATAATGATGCTGGAACTTTCCTTGCCCTCAATGGATGGTTTACATATTTTATGGTTGGTTTGATGGGTTCTTTGGTATCCACTACTAGAGCTTATAGTGGTGTTTGGTTGATGTCGGTATCTTCTACATTTAGATGTATTTCTTTATGATACCCAATATATTCAAATTCCTTCTCAATTTGATCTCCAAGGTTAAGATTTGGTGTCAAATCTACTGGATTATGAGTACCCTATTCTCTGAAACCAATATTTTCTAATTGTTGCAAGAATAGATTTATTTTGTCAATCTCTCATGAAGTTCACCAATTTAGATACGAAATCTTCCATGAATTGAAATTAAAAAATTGACCTCTAATCCAAGCATTGATCAAACACCAGAGCATGCACTTAAATTTAAACTAGTTGTAAGGCATAAAGGTACAAGTGGGGGTGGCAATTGGTTGGGCAGCCTAGCCAGCCCTAAAAACTAGGGCTTGGGCATGGCCAGTGATGTGGTCACCACAAGCTGAGGCACAGGCTGAGCTGGACCTGGGCTTGGGCCGAGCCATCACGGCTTGAGGCCCTAGTTGAGCCAGCCTAACCCTTTTTTCCTTTTTCCCCTTTTCTACTTTGATTGTGTTTGGCCTAGACTGGCCCTGACAAGGCTAGGGCTTGGGCCAAGGCCTCTTCGACCAGGTTAGCGCTCAGGATAGCCCTATAGGAACCATGGCTAGGCTAGGGCTCGCTCGGCCCAAGCTTGATCCACTGTCGGCCCTAGGTACAAGTGGTGAGATTTTGGTATCGTAGTCAATCTCCCAAGCTTATATCGCTTTGTTGACATATCATAACTTTATTGGAGTAAGTTCAACAATCAAAAGTTCATCATGAAAAGGGTGAAGATTTCTTCTTGGAAAAATGTGAAGAAGACATAGGAAAGTAATTGAATTCCTTAACCTCGGGGGTGTGTTTCTTCCAGCCCATGGGAAATGATTAGTTAGGTTTTTTTTTTTCTCTCCATATGCGGTTAGGGGTTTTTTCTTAAGGACATTAAGGTTAGATTAGTCTTTAAATATTCTAGTGATTTTAGGGATAATTAGGTCATCTGGTATTGTAGATAGTTTAAAGGAAATTGTGTCTTTCTATTTTGTTTTTGTCATAGAAAATTGAGTGGTAGAGTTCGCAGTTTAATTTTGAAAATATGAAGGGCTAGTATTTAATAGTGATAATGTTTTGCTATGCAGCAAGTTTGGTTTTTACGGTTTGTTTTTGTATTAATTTGTCAGTGTGGACAAGGAGAGAGAGAAGACGAATTGATTTTCAGGTCTTATGGAAAGATCTTTTTGGGGTGGATTCCTTGCAGAACTAGATAGAGATATATCCTCTCACTTATCTTTTATTTTTATTTTTTCTAGTTTGTTTTTTTTTATTTGTCTCTAATATTTTTATTGTGTCATGTTGTATAGTTCTCAAGGCTATGATACCACTTGATGTAGGAAGGAGGGAGAAATATAAAAAAAAATAAAATAAGGTGAGAGAATATAGCTTCTCTCTGGTCTGCAAGGGAGTCCACCCTAAAAAGATCTCTTCATAAAGACCTAAAAATGTATTATTCTTAGTCTATACCTCCCTTCCTAACACTTACATATTTATAGAGAAAAATCCGAAAAAACCTATGCTCAATAAGAAACCATATTGCTATTAAATTCGAGCTCTTCATATTTTCAAAATTAAAATTTCAAACTCTACCTCTCACTTCTCTACAACAAAATAGACGTGCACAATTGCCTTTAAAATATCTATAGTAATAAATGGCTTAAATATCTTTAAAATCTCTACAAAATTTTAAGACCAAACTAACCCTATTGATTCTTGAGGAATAAGCCCCAACTATATGAGAGAAATAAACCGTAACTATGTCATTCTCCCTAGGTAGGAGAAGCTCGTTCTTGAGCATGAGGAATTTGATATTTTCTCTTCCTGGTCTTCTCCACTTTAACCCAACTAGAATTCTTCACCCTTCTCCTGCGAACTTTTGATTCTGAATTTAATCCAATAATGTTGTCATATATCAACAGAGCCTACAATCCTAAAGATCAAACAACTCCAATCCCTATCTCCATAAAGTTTAATAAAATAAATGAAAAATACCTAGGTTTGTCGTTCGTTACCTTCAGGTGGTTCTTTTTTCATTGCAATTTATTTTTTGTTACAATGACCAAAAGAGAAACAATTAATCAGAAATGAGACCATTAACTGTGGTTGTGTAAATTTTAAGTTGTGTGACAACATTGCATCCTAAGCAAAATCATTACTTTTGATGTTTAGGTGAAGGAGAAGGATACCTTATGGTTCATCAAGTTTTGTGTTCCATGGTGTAAATATTGGTAAACAATCTATCACTTTTGTAGCCTTAAAATTTATTGCTGTGATTTGGAATAGTTGTTTTATCTAAAATTTGGGGATTTATTTCTTCTGATTGCTGCGTTGTACTGACAATATTTTCATTGTTGTTTGTTTGGTAATTTCTGCTGTGCTTTAGTAAGAAGCTTGGATCATTATGGGATGACTTGGGAGTTGCTGTTGAAGGTGAGGACGGGATCGAGATTGGAGAAGTAGACTGTAGTACCAGTAAACTGCTTTGCACAAAAGTTAATATCCATGCATACCCTACATTTAAGCTGTTCTATGAAGGTGACGAAATAGCAAAGTATACAGGTTAGTAAAATCTACATTGTTCAAAGGTTAATGCTCATCCTCATAAATTCTGGACTTTTCACTTTCTGGGGAAGTGCCATGTGTCAGTTGATTATTGATCTTTTGGTTCATCTTCATTAAGAACTTTCTCTCACCTTTGTTTTGTTTTGCAGAAATTGCAACGTAAAATTTTATTCATTTGCTTGATGTTGTTTGAACTGTATGATAGCATTATCTGACGCCTTCAGTTATCATCAACATGTTTAAGTCCAAAACAATGGCATGCACTGTTGTGTCTTTTTTTCCTTAGAACACTATCTCCTTCATTGTCAATAATAATCTGGAAAAGGCTTGTTCCTTGTTAGATGATTTAAAAAAAATTTCTTGGGATTGCAAGCTAGATCATCCATCTCACCTTACTTGTAATTTATCAATTTCTTTTAGGATCTGCACAATACAGCAAATATAACCTACATGAAGGTAGTTGGTGTTAAGAGTTACAACTTGGCTTGGCATTGGCATCCTTTTCAATAATGTCTGGGTTTACATTCTACATTGTGCGTATGACACTACAAAATATCCTAAATGATTTTTGTTTTGATTTTTCTTTGTTTAATAGATGAAAACTTTTAAAAATGTGCAGAATTAATGAGGGTGTAGCCCATTGTGGAAAAGCAATGCATGATCATAAGGTCCATAACCAGGTTCACTAAAGCTGAAGAACAAATAAAAGAGCAAACTGGCAATTACAAAGTAGGAAAATGTCTTGTTAGGGCTGCAGCCCTATCAAAATAAGCAAAGCCCTCACCCCAAAACTCATCGAAAATTGCAGTTCTGGCATTTAAAAACCTTCAAACTGATCATCTTTGCCTTGACCATTGCAGTTGTGAAAAAAAGAAAAGGATTTCAACCCCTAAAAGCAACGTATATTTTAACACATTATCTAGACTGTCCATTTCGCCCTAAAAATGAGCGTTCATGGATCTGCAATATCAGTAACATTTTTTGAGCTTCAAAATTCATAGTCAGTGTTGGAAATTGATTTTAGAGCCATTATGGAGATTTTTGATACCCAAAGAGCATTCCGGATGAGGATTCCAGGTGAGGCTTTACTTTGTTGTCATAAAAGTCTAGGCGTTATAGAAACTGCAACCTATGAAGTATTACCCATTCTAAACTTGATACAGTATCATATATAGTTTACTGTTTCGTCTTATAGTGAGTCCTCTTTCTCCATAGAGATAAAGGTCAGAGAATCCATTGCTACCATAAAATCTCTTCCATAATATCATCTCCATCTTTCAAAAAACAAGAAAAAAAAGAATGGTGAACCATTTGTCGTTGGGCCATCGAATCATGTTTTGTGAATCATCTTATTTAATTGCAGGGGAAATGGAGGAAATTAATAACCTTAAGGCTGTTTTCTTAGAAGAGTTGATCCAAAACGTTTTCAAAATCTGATCTACGGCATTTGACTCTGAGAATTAACTAGCTCCATTAACTGCTACTCTATGATTTTGCAGAATAATTGACAATACTTTCATTTTTGCATGAGACAACCATTCTCTGAAAAAAACAACATTAACGTTTTATGGGATAGATGGTGCTTTGATTTGGATGATCATGATCGGATTTGCAAATTGATATGAAATCCACTAGTGACAGATTGGAGCTTAGCACTCCAATTTAACCATGATGGCTTGGTCTCTTGTGCGACGTTAGCGAAGTTATTAAGAGTGTTCCCAAATGTCAACACCCACAACTTCCTAGCAATCATTAAAATCATATGATATGTAAACCTTCTTGTGGTCTCATGCAACAATGAAGCTATCAACCACTTGTTCCGGTAAGGACATCCACCTTTTCAAATTCATATGGTGGAGATTGTGGCAGGATGATACTACTAGGGTGTTGAAATCATCAAGGCTTTCCTCTTACCTCTAAGATATCTTCCAATCTTCACAGAAATGATGATGTCTTATTGTGTCTATCTGGACGATTGAGTTATTTTCACAATCGAGGGCTTAATAGTCACCAGAAGACCAAATGCCAGTACATTGGAAGGAAAATCATGGCTGACCCACATCCTCACCATCCTCTGCGTTTTCTTCGCCCCCTTGGCCTTCTTCGTCCCCCTTCCTCTTTCCATCTCTCTCAGCATTTCGATTGGAAGCAGATCTACGATCTATACCCCTCTTTTAGCTTTCTTCTTTCAGAGTGTAAGCATTCTCGTCTGGCCGGCCCTCGCCTTTCTCCTAAGAAAGACGGCTTTCGACCTGGTCCGACCAAGTTGCCTTCTAAGCCTTCTTACGCCCATGACGTAGTCTCAAGTTCCGAACCGAAGGTCACTTCCATTGATCCTCTTACACCCTGTAAGACCCAGACCCTCTCCTCCTTTCTACCTTCTATCGTCTCTATCCCTTCAGGAGAGTCAAAGATTCTAGAGAAAAAATTTTCAGCGAGCTTGGTGGCTGCTTACCATCCCAATCGAGACGATGTCAGAGGGATAGAGAGATGGGCAAAGCGAACATGGGGGGAACCTAACCTCACTTGCAGATGAATCTCAGGTGGTGATTATCTCTTCTCCTTCTCTTACCCTGACTTCTCCTCTAAGGCTTTATAGGAGGTGTCCTCTGCAGTCTTCAAAGGTGCTTGGTGCAAGTTGAGAGTTTGGTCCCCAACAGAAGATGCTTTCAGGAAGCAGAGAGTTTGGCTCACTCCCCCTTCACGTGTGGTTCCCATCCACATACAGGAAAGTGGCGAGATGTGTGGTTCTCTCATTTCGATTCGTTGGAAATCACTAGAGACTCTTCCTCTTGGTTCCATGCGACTTCTGTTAGAGGTGCTGGACACCAACCTAATCCCTTCATGTGTGTGGTTGGAGGTTGACGACGCCTACTTCCAAGTGTCTCTATCGTGGTCTCCTGCTTCACCCCCTTCCCCTCACTTTTTCAACCAGTTGGTCCATTCGCAGCCTCCAGGGCCTCCTGCCTCGGCCTGGATCGTAGTCAAACGAAAGCACTGCCACCAGCGGTGGAGTCGCCAACACTCTCGCGAGACAGGCCTGATGGATCGGGCTATTCTTCCGGCTCGAATGCCTATACCCACCTCGATAGTCACACGGAAGGCCCACGAGATTAGCGTTGAGTCACATCACCCGAGGAAGGACGGGCCTTCGTCGGCCTCCCCTCCCTGCCCTGATCCACCTTCGCCTATTTAAAAAGTTGACCTAACCTTACATGCTCTACGATGACCTGGAAAAGAACCAATCGAGGGTAGTGCTGTCTCGCGGGCCACCTCGAGGTTTCGAGCCCATCTATTCAAGAGCGTCGAGCCTCACCTCTGTCGCTCGACACTGCATTTACTCCCATCGACCGTGGGATCATTTCAACCGTCTCGCCTGTCAACTGTGCGCCGCCCCAGGGTGCCCACGTGTCGCAGCCGGTCTTTTCTCCTTCCTTACTCGAGCCTCTGTCGCCGCCTTCGCCATGTTACTCTTCTCCTCTGCCGACGTACGATACCTCCTTGTCCGAACAGGTGTCGATGCCAGCCTCCTCCCCCTTCTTCGTAGAGCCACCCTCGCCGCAACCTCCACCTACCCCCTCCCATCTGCCTTACCAGCCGTTGGACACGTGTCCATCCCCTGATCCCGAGGGTGACACGTGCCTTGGCACGGAGCCCCGAGTGCCCCTCCCTCCCATTCCACCGCCTTTTCCCATCCCCTCCCCTGTGCACCTGCCCTTCCCCTTCTCCTCAACCTCTCGTTCTTTGGCTGCCCCTTTTATCCCTTGTTTTCCTTCCTCGCCTCTCCATTCATCTTCTTCCTGTTCTCTCTCGGCCTCTCCTTTTACGGCGAGAGTGCTCCTGTTGCTCGGCTACCCTCCCGTCTTTCCTTGCCCTCAGAATCAAAGCCCTTGTCCATGGACATCTGTCAGCTCCGTTCTAGAGCTGGTTCCTCGCCACCCCTGGGTCCCTCTTACCCTCATCATCTCCTCTACTTGTTCCCCCATCTAGTCCAAATGAGCAGGATTCGGATAATCCACTTTAACCAGCCATCCATGTACCTTGGATCCTCTTCCCCTTTGATCCACATTGAATACTGCCAATTCCTTTCCCTCTTACCCTGCTCTTCTTTGCCAGTGATCTTGTCCACTTCCTTCTTGCCTGGCTCTACCTACCCTGCTCCTTCTAACCCCCCCATTGCTTTGCCGTTCCATGATCAGAGTGCTCTGCCCCTCTCCTCCCCCCCCTTCTCTTTGCCCTCCGCCTATGCTTCTCGTTTGCCTTCTCCCCCTCCACCCCTCGCTAGCCTCTTTCCTCTTCATTCTTCTCTTCGCTCTTCCTCCGACCTACGCTAGCTCAGCAACCACGACTCCTTATTGTCCTCTCTCTGCCACGTCGCATTGTCCCTTTGATCCTCTCCCTAACCTACCTCTTCACCTCTACCCATCGGTCCTTGACCAGTGTTCCATGGTGGCTGAGGAACCAGATACTTCCATCTCTCTCCTCTCGGCGGTCTTCAGGGCTGAGAGGGTCGACAGGCATGGAATAGCACGAGACGGCAAGACCGACGACACGGTTACATCCATCTCTCCCCCTTCGGGTATGGTCAATACCAAGGGGGTTGACAGGGATAGGACCAGAATAGACGGTGAGACCGACGGCTCGACTACACCCATCTCTCCCCCTTCGGGTATGGTCAATACCGAGGGGGTCGACGGGGATCGGAACGACAGGGAAAGGACCAGCATGCAAGAAATCTTCCGAGTAATGGGCTTCCATTATGATGGTCCTGCTCACCTCTTCTTCCAATCGGATGCTTAGAGTCGCATAAAGGTGAGTACCAAAGGTCATAGAGAACTCCTCAGCCTCTTCTCCTCTATCTCTTATGACATCTCCTCAGCGGCTTACCCCTGCTTTTACCTCTTCCTCCTTTCCAAGGAGATCGCCCTGATTAGCGTCTCCTTCCTCTTCAAATCCCAAGCAATGAAGATTCTCTCCTGGAACATTAAAGGCTTGGG